TTTTGGCATCACGTCTGCAGAGGGATTTATCACAAGTATTTAGGAAGAAGCACAATTTTCTGACAGATTAAAAACTACAGAAGACTGTATATAAAAGATGGAGCTGCCAGAATCGCGTTTTCAGGATTTTGGTTGTTTTTTAAAAAACATTTTATTTTGTAGTCAGAGTGATAAACTAGGAGTGGATCTGAGATCCTGAGGACACTGAATGTCATGCGAGCAGTTAAGTCCTAAAACTAGCTGCCTATACTGCCTGCACTCACTGGTTGCATTTCTAGGTACACCTGTTAAGGCAAGCATTGGATCGGCCAATCACATGGCAGTAACTCAGTGCATTTAAGGATGTAGGCATAGTCAAGACAACCTGCTGAAGCTCAAACTGAGCATCAAAGTCTGAAAGAAAGCTGACTGTGGCATGGTTGTTGCCAGCACACAGGCCTTGTTGAGGTCAGAGGAGAATAGCCAGACTGGTTTGAGCACACTGAAATTGAACACTAACTCAAACAGCCACTCATTACAACCAAGGTATACAGAAGAGCATAGGGGCAGACAGACTCCTCAACAGTGGTCAACAGAAGAATAATGTTGGTTGGTCTGATGTGTCTCATTTGGATGGTTGCTATATTTGGATGGTGAGCTCATAATTTGGGCGTTCATGTCCACCGTGGTTGCTTCCAGCAGGGAAACATACCACATCACAAAGCTCAAATCATCTCAAACTGGTTACTTGAACATGAAATTAGTTCTCTGTGAATGGCCTTCCACAGTCACCAGATCTCAGTTCACCTTTGGGCTGTGGTGGAATGGGAGACCAAATTATGGATCATTAAGGACAAACATCTCTGAGTAATGCTTTCAGCCCCTTGTTGAATCTGGATAACATTGAAGCAGGTCTGAAGGGTCCAACCCAGTACTAGCAAAGCATACCTAATGAAATGGACATGAGTGTATTTGACTGTATAAATGGTAATATAGGAAATACTGACAGAGACTAAAATCATCAAGGCTTTACTGGGGTCAGAGATCAAGTGCATTGTATCGAGATGAGTCGCCCCCTGCTGGACAATATACAGAGCGGCAGTTTTATGAATTTAACCCTTTAAAACCGGTCGGAGCGGGCACGCTCCTTTTGCGTAACTATTTTTAAATCCCGGTAGCACTGCAACCACGTGAGCTAGCGCAATAATTTTTTTTGCCTATGAAACCAGGGAAGTTGTACTTACATCTTATGTCATCAGCTTGTCCTAGGTCACAGTTTCCTTCCACATATGGCTTTGCAAAAACTCATA